TATTTACATTATTCGGACTATTGTCCTCATCTTTGTTGCCATATTTATTACAACGTTTCGGCCTTTCAGTATCTGTCTATATTTCTGAGATGAGGTATTATGTACACTATTTACATTATTCGGACTATTGTCCTCATCTTTGTTGCCATATTTATTACAACGTTTTGGGCCGTTGTACGCTCCGGCCTTCTTGGATAGTTGGACTGTCGAACTGAACCCTTTATTTCGTTCACTGGGGTAGGCTGTTCTAGTTCCACGTGCCATGTTTAGTGGATGTCAATTATCAGTTATCTCCACTGCCTTTATCCACTGTGCCATGTGTCCTTGAGGACATCTGGGTATGAATTTCTGGGTATTATAAACCTAATGTCACAGCAATCATTTTTTTTACCCGTGCTCATCTTTCATTTTTTATTTTTATCAATTTATGTTTTTAACAGAACTCATATTGCAATTTTTGTTGGTGTTATTGCTTTTCTCTGGCACACCTTATTACTGGTTCCCATATTGTATTCATTTCTATGCTTGGTCGGCTCAGGAGATTTTTGTGTCCCAGCATATGTGCCGAAAGGCCGAAACGTTGTAATAAATATGGCGACAAAGATGAGGACAATAGTCCGAATAATGTAAATAGTGTACATAATACCTCATCTCAGAAATATAGACTATTACTGAAAGGCCGAAACGTTGTAATAAATATGGCGACAAAGATGAGGACAATAGTCCGAATAAAGTGTACATAATACTTCATCTCAAAATATAGACAGATACTGAAAGGCCGAAACGTTATAATAAATATCTCAGTCCGAATAATATAGATCAGAAATATAGACAGATACTGAAGTGACGAAACGTTGTAATAAATATGGCGACAAAGATTTAATTTTTTTGTGTTCGAACAAGAGCTTTATTTTCTGGAAAAAGAGTGTGTAAGAACTGTCCAAATGTTTTAGAGTTCCGAGCGCTTTCGGCTATACCTTTAAACGCACAAACAAACTTACCAGACTTCATTAGAAGCATACTAGTAGAAAACAATATATGTTAACTGCTTCCACTTGTCAAAAAAGATTAAAAATAATGGAAGCTTTAATAATAAAAAGGAAAAAAAAACAACTCTTAAAAATATTAACTACAAACAAGGCCACAATGTGCTAACCGTATTCGGAAAATAAAAACATCCCTACAACACACTAAAACATACACATAATGCACAAACTCAATTAAGCTGAAAAATCGAATCATCCTTGATAATGGCTAAAGGTATAGCCGAAAGCGCTCGAAAATATAAAACATTTGGACATTTTTTACACACTCTTTGTCCACAAAAGAAAGCTCTTGTTCGAACACAAGAAAATTAAATAAAAATCTTAACCCTACTACCTTGGCTGTCGTTTTTAATGAAACATGCATAAACGAAGGATTGCTGCCTAAATATACAACTATATATATATATATATATATATATATATATATATATATATATATATATATTATTTTATTTTCTGTATTCTTAATTCTTGTTCTTTTATGTCCTCTCTTCTTAATAGTATATTTTTTTCATTTTCTCTAACACCTCTTACGTCTTAATGGCTTTATTGCCTTACTTGACATGAAAAGACCAAAAATATGACTTTGTTTCTTGTCGCATTCGATTCGGGAGAGGATTAAATGTATTTGGATACGCCCATAAGCGAAAGGGATACGCCATCATGGATGATTCAGATGTTTATTTTTCCACCAGCCTCATTGACCAGCGTAAAGCTTTGTTAAAGTCTCCTAAATCGCGAGACATTTGAATAAAAGAATCGTGGTTTATTGGTTGCGTGATCGAAGATGCTGTGCGCATGTGCAGCGATCACGTGAGCCACTCAGCAGAACGAAATAGCAGGAAGATATGAAAAGATCTTTGATGACTTACCCGGATTCTTCGCATAGCAGCCACAATTTCCACCCGACTGCTAGGACGGGGTACATCAAGTGTTCCAATGTACTGTGGAAAGAAAATTATGACAAAAGTTACTGGATGAAAAAAAAAAAAAAAAGATAAAATAGAATGAAAGAAATATAGGGAAAATTCATAGGGGAGTGGTTAATATTTTTTAATCGTTTCACCCCAAGCAAGGCGACAATGCCACTAAGACGCAGGTGAGGAGGACAGAGAGTGAAAGTAAAAGAAAATGAGAAGACTCATAGGATTGAGGGAGGGACAAAAAAGGAACATGGTTCGAGAAAACACGAGATAGCGATTGACGCTGCATTTAAATTTTTCATGAGTGCAGTTATCATGGAAGCAAGGAATCGGAATTGTGTTCCACAAGTGAGAAATGTGAGAAAAAAATGTTACGGTAATATTGGCGGTTCTATCTAGATAGTTAAACAGTGAGACCTAACTGCCAATCTAGTAGCACGTTTGAATTCATCTAGTCGGCGCACCGGGGAAAAATCGTCAAAGCTTAAATTCATGCAGTCGAGATACTAAGGAGAACAGCTTATCAGAACAGCAGCCATGAAAATAGTTGTAGAAAAGACAGAGGGAAGCCACATGACGTCGGTGAGAAAGTGACTGAAGTCGAGATGCCTGGGAGTGAGTAATTACCTTAAGGACACTTCTTTGGATTTTGTCAAGAATTTCAAGATATACGGCACGAGCACCAGACCATATATGGCTGGAATATTCAATGCACAGACGAATGGTAGATTTATAAATGTGCAAGATGGAATCTGACAAGAAAAGTTTCATGGCACGAGACAGTAAACCAATCTTCCGGACAGCAGACGTAGCAATTGATTCAGTATCATTCAGTTATGTGTCATGCATGATACGCGCTTAGGCGATCATGTATCTTTCGATACATGACTGACGAGGCAGATTTTTTTCCCGCAGTAGGTGGCCATTTCTTTCTGCTGTAGACCAGTTGCCATCCAAGGCTATAGAACCCGATTTGTCCTGCTATTTACCCATAGCTGGGGGAGAAGAAGAGGATTCATACCTTTCCCAAGGGTCAGTTCAGTTATGTGCCATGCGTGATACGCGCTTAGGCGATCATGTATCTTTCGATGCATGACTGACGAGGCAGATTTTTCCGGCAATAGGTTGCCATTTCTTTCTGCGGTAGACCAGTTGCAATCCAAGGCTATAGAACCCGATTTGTCCTGCTATTTATCCATAGCTGGGGAGAGAAGGATAGGATTCATACCTTTCCCAGGGGTCAGTTCAGTTGTGTACCATGCGTGATACACGCTTAGGCGATCATGTATCTTTCGATAGATGACTGACCAGGCAGATTTTTTCCCGCAGTAAGTTGCCATTTTTTTTCTGCGGTAGACCAGTTGCAATCCAAGGCTATAGAACCGGGTCTGTCCTGCTATTTACCCATAGCTGGGGAGAGAAGAAGATTCATATCTTTCCCAAAGTGAATGTAATCGATTCGACTGGAATTCGAACTCGGTTCTCCGATTCCTCAATCCGAGCCGCTATCCACCTTGTCTCTTCTGATTCAGTGTAGTGGCTCCGTTTCATGTCAGTGAAAAACGTGACCCCAAGGAGGCGTAAACCGTTGCTCTGCCGATGGCAGACAGAAAAGGATCACTGTAGTGATTAAATGGACTGAGACAATGGATTTCACCCCATGCATGTAACATATTTTAACGTAAACATTTAGGGCGGTAAATCACGTCAGCCTATATGACAATTCCTATAAGGGTTAGAGGTTTGATTCCTGTTAGAGAGCGCACCTTTTTGAAATTTCTCGAACATTCAGGCCGGTAAATGTAATTAATACTGTT